TGTTTTCGCAACTTGGTCATATTGGTAGTAAGACTTAGAGGAACGCACCTAGTCCTGAGTCCAGTGTATGCATCATCATTTCCAGAGTAGGACCGTGGACGTGGTACATTTCCAGACGTTTCGCCGGCATCTTAGTCGGCATCGTCAGTGAGTCTCGCCATTCGTAGCACCATATTACAACTCGTCAAATCATAAGTATTTCGGTAAAATGAGTTCTTATATACTCGTCGGCCCCCAAGAAACTTTTTACAGATAATAATGCATGTGCTTTCGCGAATAAAGACCGTAGACTTTAAAGAATTTGTGCTACAATTCGAACACGATTATAGGATCAATATGGACGAGCCGGAGTTCAGATAGATGTTGATCTTGTTCGCTGGCCCATTCTGCTCTGCTGAGTGAGCATAACCTCCGAGCGAAGGGTCAGTAAGTAGGCCTTCCGGGGGTATTTCGCCTGTCCCTTACAGTGGCCCAAATCACATGCAATGCGAACAATTCAGAAGGGCCGTGCAAACCAGCGGTTAGGCGAGGCGGAAACGACCCTGGCTAGTGTAGCACACACTCACCTCAATGGTAATAAGTTTCGGCATTGTGCTGCGAAATCCTCAGGGATATATCCTTCATTGACACCAGAATGCTCTGTCCAGCTCGCGGCGGAGTTGGGCCTCCCTCCTTATTTGAGCCAAATGTTTCACCAAAACACCAGTCTGCTTTTGCCTATTTCAGGATGCCTGGCCTACAATCGGTATGCTGAGCGCATGAAAGTCATTCTCGTTGCTGCCTTGAACCACCTGATCAATATCAACCCCATTCCTCCGAATGATATCGCTGCCTTCCGGGAATTTTCTATAAATGCAACGAACCTCTCACGACAAATAGTTTTATGCCTTCAGCAGGTTTACTGCCCACGCTTCAAGATTGTGGTACATACCTTCGTGTTGGATACTGCCACCGTTCCTGAGACCCAGATGGTAATCGGAAGCAGGGGTCTCTGGACACCAAGCCTGGGTGACGATTATTTCACTATTCAGCTACAGCAGCCTAAATTTGAATGCATCATTGCTGTTTTTGGTCTCTTTGTCGAATAGTCCAAAGATATTTAACTTCCACTTCACGTTACAAACAAACATACAGAAGTGGATACTACTCCTCCTCGTCGATTGAAGAGCTAGGCGTAATTTACTCTCTTTCTCTTATTTAATAAGGAAATCAAGATTAGCATGAAGTTCACAGTGTCTGGAAGTCTCATCGACTTTGCATTTATGCCAAGCTTGACTAAAGGTAGTGTAAAGAGAGTGATGAACCAACTAAAAAGTGAAAATTTTTGCCATCCACATTAATAAATGTATACTAAGTTGCTGAAATGTGTGAAGAAAAACGTGCATAAAACACTACATGTAATACAGGCATTGGGAATTTAAATTCGTCATGGAGTCATCACAGCGAAACCTGTAAAATGTATTAATTCAAGCCGACTTCAGCTCAAGACAACTTTACATAAATGAATACGCACATATACACTTTTATGCATATGTGAACACAGTCACATAACTACTTATGAATAAAGGGCTACCTAAAGAAATCTGGCGTCCAAATTTTACGCATCAAAAATTGCAGTATAATGTCTGAAAAGAACAGAGACATGAGTAATGTACATAAAATGATGTAAATAAGCAATTCTGTCTCTTACTCTCTTTCAGGAAAGTAATAAGGCCAGCATACACCATTTGACAACTGTTAGCTTCATCAGTATATCAAGTATTTGAAAATCAAATAATGCATATGTCAGCTAAATAATGGAATGGCATATCCATCATTGTGAAACTCTGCAAGTTACCATATTGAGACGACCACATTCTTTCCTTTATTCTGGTAAAATAATAATAACTCAAGTTTAATATTTAATAAAAACTTAGTCACTCT